AACCTTGTACACAGCTGTTTGTACTGTTAACGTTGATATCAGTAAGAACCATATAAACAGCTTTATGTACTGTTAACGTTGATATCAATAATAACCATGTACACAGCTGTATGTACTGTTAACGTTGATATCAAAAATAACCTTGTACACAGCTGTTTGTACTGTTAGCGTTGATATCAGTAAGAACCATATACACAGCTTTATGTACTGTTAACGTTGATATCAATAATAGCCTTGTACACACCTGTTTGTACTGTTAACGTTGATATCAATAATAACCTTGTACACAGCTGTATTTACTGTTTACGTGAATATCAGTAATAACCATGTACACAGATGTTTGTACTTTTAACGTTGATATCAATAATAACCATGTACACAGCTTTATGTACTGTTAAGGTTGATATCAGTTATAACCTTGTACACAGCTGTATGTACTGCTAACGTTGATATCAGTAATAACCTTGTACTCAGCTGTATGTACTGTTAACGTTAATATCAGTAATAACCTTGTACACAGCCGTATGTACTGTTAACGTTGATATCAGTAATAACCTTGTACACAGCTGTATGTACTGTTAACGTTGATATCAGTAATAACCTTGTACACGGCTGTTTGTAATGTTAACGTTGGTATCAGTAATAACCTTGTACACAGCTGATTTTTCAGTAGTGTAGGTGATATGGACCTACAGTATTGACCGCAGAGTAGTAACATTGAGATTTTTCAGTAGTGTACATGTATATACCGTCGATTACATACATGTTATATACCCTCGATTACATACATGGTATATACCCTCGATTACATACATGTTATATACCCTCGATTACATTCATGGTATATACTCTCGAATACATACATGGTATATACCCTCGATTACATTCATGGTATATACCCTCGATTACATACATGGTATATACCCTCGATTACATACATGTTATACACCCTCTATTACATACCTGATATAGACCCTCTAATACATACATGGTATATACCCTCGATTACATACATGTTATATACCCTCTATTACATACCTGATAAAGACCCTCGATTACATACATGGTATATACCCTCGATAACATTCATGGTATATACTCTCGAATACATACATGGTATATACCCTCTAATACATACATGGTATATACCCTCTATTACATACCTGATAAAGACCCTCTAATACATACATGGTATATACCCTCGATTACATACAAGGTATATACCCTCTAATACATACATGGTATATACCCTCTATTACATACATGGTATATACCCTCTAATACATACATGGTATATACCCTCGATTACATACATTTTATATACCCTCGAATACATACATGTTATATACTCTCGATTACATACATGTTATATACCCTCGAATACATACATGTTATATACCCTCCTATACATACATGTTCTAAACCCTCGAATACTTACATGTTATGTACTCTCGATTAGATACATGTTATATACTCTCGAATACATACATGTTATATACCCTAGAATACATACATGTTATATACCCTCGAATAGATACATGTTATATACCCTCGAATACATACATGTTATATACCCTCGAATACATACATGTTATATACTCTCGATTACATACATGTTATATACCCTCGAATAGATACATGTTATATACCCTCGAATACATACATGTTATATACCCTCGAATACATACATGTTATATTCCCTCGAATACTTGATTTTATTGATAATCAAACCTATGGTGTATTGTAGAATATGTGTGTTTTGCTAGATTAATACTCCATTTATCTTTTTATACACATCACATATATTATTTTTTTTACAGATGGTGCTCTGTCTTGGACCATTGGTAATTCTTTCGGGACAGGCTTCATTAGGAATCTGACATTACTTCCTGGGAGTTCAAAGGTCAGATTGACGTCGTTTGATGGTGGAAGTGGTGAAGGGATGTACTTTATATATTCGCTGATCACATTGACTTTGAATACATCAACAAACACGTCTTTAGGTATTCATACTATAAACAAATGCAATGATGAAATAATGGATTGTGCTCCTATAACACTAGCAAGAAGGAAATTCGGTGGCGATCGCGAAAGTAATGAGGCGTTTGGTAATATAATGAGTTTTCTGTGTATTACCGAGAGGTTGACGATTGGGGACACACTAGACATATCGATACATGTGTCACCTAAATCTAGTTATAATAGAAATGGAATATTCTCAAATTACTTTGGAATATTTAAATTATAATGTGTACAATATTTTATGTTTTTTACCATCAATATTATAAAGGAAGGACACGTGTAAGGAGTGCATCTACCAATGATGTGTACTGTTTAAATGTAAAGTAAAAATAAAGTGAGTAAATGTGTCGTATTATTCAAAATAAAAGCATGCCATGTCGTGGATACGACAGGTCAAAATCCGAGTTCAAAGGTCATAATCAGGACAGCAAAGGAAAGTAAGAAGACATAAAACAACAGACCAGAGATCATGAACCCGTGCAAACACATAAAACAACAGACCAGAGATCATGAACCCGTGCAAACACATAAAACAACAGACTAAAGGTCATGAACCCGTGTAAACACATAAAACAACAGACCAAAGGTCATGAACCCGTGTAAACACATAAAACAATAGACCAAAGGTCATGAACCCGTGCAAACACATAGAACAACAGACCAGAGGTCATGAACCCGTGTAAACACATAAAACAATAGGCCAAAGGTCATGAACCCGTGCAAACACATCAAAACAACAGACCAGAGAGCATGAACCCGTGCAAACACATAAAACAACAGACTAGAGGTCATGAACCCGTGCAAACACATAAAACAACAGACCAGAGGTCATGAACCCGTGCAAACACATTTAACAACAGACCAGAGGTCATGAACCCGTGTAAACACATTAAACAACAGACCAGAGGTCATGAACCCGTACAAACACATAAAACAAAGACCCTAGGATCAGGAGACAGTATTACAAATGGTGATACATGTAGATATAAGATGTATTCATGGAAACCAGTCTAAATCAGTTTTTCACGAAACTGACCAATTTTACTGTGTCATGCTGCCATGTCATAAATATGGTAATACACATGTGTAATAAAACCTGCGATTAGTTAAAACCGTGGGAACATATTCCTACGCCACTACAGGTACCTGTACTACGTTTTTAACTGCATTTTTCTCTGATAAATTTAAATATTTTTACTATAAACTTAATTTGAAATGTTTGATTTGTCATTATTGTTTTCATTGCAAAAAACTACTTTGAACTTCAGGAACGACAATACTATGATCTGAGTACTTTGGTTTTGACCTATATAGAAACAGCTGATAACACATAATAATGTTTAATGGGTTCTTTCTCAAATGATGATTGTTATGTGATAAATATAATCTGATGTGAGTGTCAATTGAATATGTCAAAGGCCTAAAGATTGAACTCGTGTGATATATTCAATATTAAATGGACACTCGTGTTAAATCCTCTATATATACAGTTTACGGAGAGATTTGGCATTCATAATAATAGGAACATATCAGTTATGTATATATTGTATACAACCCTGATGGCGCCATGTAAAATACGAATATAACCGATTTGCGTTTATACCGTCATAGATGTTAAAACACCTCGCTCAATACGTATATTACTTGATAAATTTAGAGATACTTAATATGACTGCCTTAGCATTAGCGATATTGTATTATTCTGTTGCACTGGGACAACGACATTCCTCGAACCGACTTATATCGTCTAAACGTTTGCATCTTATAACTTATTATGTTCTGCAAGTCAAAAAGTAAAGCGCCAATGACACAGTGATCAAATTGCGTGTATAGCTCTATGCCTACAATTTCTCTTCTGATGGTGTTGATGCGAATCATTGTATGTCCTTGATGTCAAGTTCTATTTGTGTTGATCGAAATAAATAAAAATCCGCGTATTGTTTCCTGATACAACACCTGAACTTTTTGATCCCGCTAAGTTAGAAGGGTTTACAGTATCAGTGTGTGATCCTTTTTGTTTATACACAGAGTGTGCGATGTAACCCGTGCTTTAGAGAACCCTAATCAAATGGAATCGACTTCAATTGTTAATCAGCTTAAATCTACCACAGATTTCAGAACAGGCACGTACCGCAAGCACGTAAAGAATGCTTTTATAATTGCTATCTATGAGATGCTATAGAGTGTTTAAAATAACTTTTTCGTAAAAATAGAAAGCACGTAAAGCATGCTTTTATAATTGCTATCTATGAGATGCTATGGAGTGTTTAAAATAACTTTTTCGTAAAAATAGAAAGCACGTAAAGCATGCTTTTATAATTGCTATCTATGAGGTGCTAAAGAGTGTGTTTAAAATAACTTTTTCGTAAAAATAGAAATAAATCGTTTGCTAATCTTGGTCGTATAGATGAGCTCGATTTTGATATTTATCTTCAGTTAAATAATGGTAAAGTTCGTGTATAATAAGCGTTAATAAAAGTCATTCTCCATTTATTACCTGATAATTACATCGAAATATAATTTAAGATTTTGGCGTATACGCAAACAAAAGTATTAAAATACATGTGAAAATACATTTGTAAATGTCTTTCTGGTATGTGTCATATTGGGTATATTTTGTGGTAGGACGCCGGGCTCGTGACCGAAGGGTTGCGGGCTCGAGTCACAGCACGGCACTGTGTTGTATCTTTGAACAAGATACTTTACTCCGCTTATTCCAGTCTACTCAGCTGTAAATGAGTACGTGGTTGGGCAGTGCTAGAATTGTTGAATGCTAGCTGTGAGCGCCGAAATGGCATCACCGGCTGTATGCTCCCCATGGAGTTGAGAAAGACATTGGCTGGTTGCAAAGGCCCTATACATATATAACCATAGATAATAATTTGTGAACCGCTTTGAGACGACCTACGAACTAGGTTGTGATAAAGCGGTATATAAGAACCTCCATTTTTTTCATTCATTGCATTTACAAGGCTGATATTATATTAAAACGAAGACAAACACAACAAGAACTATAAGAAGGAAATATACAGTAAACATGGATAAATAACTTTAAAAGTGTTACTTAATCAGAACCATTTAAAACCAAAGATCAATGTTAAGACAAAAATGATTTGCTGGCCTTTGCTCTATATATCTCCTATCAAATCATCCTGCCGTTAATGGTTCAAGAGGCAAACCTACTTTGTAAAGCCCATGACGAAACTATCCCTTCGAAAACATACAGGGTTTCTCGTCAGGACGCAACTGTGACACCGATTGAAAAAAGAAAGTAACAAGTTCTAACAAACACAAAAAACTGATGGACACAAATATAACTAATAACGGTACTAACTCGGATGCAGTAATGAAGATACAAAGAAGCGTCATCTATCCTGGTAACGATAATATAGAGAAATATTCTGTGTACCCCTTTGTTTATAAAGCTTACATGTGGGCCGCATATCTGGGTTCTCGCGAATTTTTTTCTTCAATAAGGAAGTCTAGAAATAATGATTAATACCACCGGCGATGGAATTTTCTTAATACTCATCTTTGATACATATACTTATATATTTAATAACATCAGAAAAACATATCCAGCACACACGAAAGCATACACACATAAGGAGATATTAGCCAGGTGGCATAGGACTAGTAGTTAGCGCCTGATAAGGCAGCTCCTGCGAATTCCTCAAAAACTGTATTGATAAACGTATATGCTTATTGTATTAATTGTATATCAATGTACTGTAAAGCGCTTTAGAGTGGCTAATGTTAGCTAGATAGGGCGCTATATCAAATGTTGTATATTTATTATTTATTTATTTATCTAAAGTCCTTGTGATAGTTGAACGTACAAAACAAATGACAAGAGTTTATAAGTTCCTCCCTAGCGCATTCACCTCTTTCCCTGATGAAAATTTAACGAGGTGAAAGCGCTAGGGAGGTTCTAAAAAACTCGTCATTTGTTGTTTTTTATGTAAGTATATATATTTAGCCTAACCATATGGAGCCACTATCAATTTTCATGCTTTATATGCAAGTCAATAATTTAAAGGAAACCCTAAAACGTATAGTTGCGGATGTATTCATGCATTTTGGATGATTGTGTAAGGATAAGGTGAGATATATTGTATATAGTATCTTACAGATGTCATACATTACCTTATATCTCGTCGGGATGCGATTTGAAACACAGTTTCAGTGTCAGAACACAGTTATCATTCCATACATTTCGTAGGCTAAATATAAGGTCGTATTGCATTGCAACAAGAAATGCGTGTCGATATTTCTTAAAAACACCGGAAATTAAGGGAAACACTTATCCTTAATGATTCATGCAATTAGCACAGTTTTGCTGCTATTTCCTACCAATGAAATATAAATAGAATAATTTCTAGCACTTTTCTTACATTACTCGGAATCAAGAAACATGCATCTTAGCATATTAATCCCTTTTTGGGGGAGGGGGGTCAATTTTATGAATAGACATTATTGTACAATTCATTTTGTCGGTTTTATTCTGTATTTGAGATTGTTGATTTCACTACTTAAATGACATCGATAATTTTGACAACAATGTATTGTAGAATATTCATTTTATAGCGCCATATTAATTCATACAAGCAATGCTGACCAATTTTCTTAAAGTAAGCTTCAATCAAATATTGGAAAGTAATCAAATCGGACAATATCTTTTGTTTCCCTATCAGAAGTCATCTTTGGCGGCAATCTTGTTCAACGGGAGATACAGACTTTGCGATAGTTTGCAAACACAATATTACAATAATAAGACCAAAAACTAACAATATATAACCTTTGACCAATCAGAAGGCAGCCTTGGCGGCCATTTGTACAATAAGCACGTGAAGGTCGCGTTACAGTTTGTAGTGTCATAATACACCTACATAGGGAAATTTCGACCAGCCTGAAGCAGGTTAATGGCAGTCCGTTTAGTGTGGACGGTAGATAAAACTAGCGAAATTAATTCATCAGTCCTATAACAATGTAAACAAAGTTGTTCGATATCTTATTTTGATCAATCAGAAGCCGGACTTAAGCTGTCAATTGGTCCAAACGTCGACGTTGTTTTTTTTACACCTAAGGAGTTCATTTTATCACGTAAACATCTACAAAATAAAATAATAAAAAAACAATAATTTGACGAAGAAAAAACTAAGCACAAGCGGTAGGTAAAGCTTGAGAGATTTGATAAATATAAGAAATGCAGCGAAAACAATCAATTTTATCCCGTATTGGGGACGAGGTAATGATAAGATGACAGCCACAACAGTACATACCGCTAGCTTCGGTTTTGTAACTTTGTAACAAACAGAAGAAAAAAAAAATACAATAGTGATAAATAAGAGCAGAAGAAAGCATACAGTCTCCAAACCAATCGGTTACTGTAGCACATGTGACATGCGTACTCTCTGCGATCGGTCAGACATCTGACAAATACTCAATGTGCAAAAATATAACTGACAACAGTCAATCCCAGTGCGAACGTCACAATTGTGTGTCCCTTCGAGAAACTACGGCGGTTACTCACCTTATATGCTCAGCCGATCACGTGAGTGACGGCCGCTCCCCGTCAATTCAAAAACGCCGTCATTTCTTTGTTGACAGTGAGAGGGATAACACGTTCATTAAAATTATGGGAGATACTTAACATTATACCGGTCTAAAAGAGGATTACTGTATACAAGGACACAAGGTAAGTTTTCTGTTGTTTACTGTTAGCCGCAAAGTGTTTAGCAAAAAATAAGTGATCTCGCATATTGAATAACGTAAAAATGGTGTCGTCAAATAGACGCTTGCCTGCTAGTGATGATTTGCCAGATATATATGGGTCGAAGACGCAATCTGAACGTTAAACTCCTATATAACACTGGATTCATACGAACGTATGTTAGTAAAATACGTATTACTTTATAATGGTATATGTAAAAGTCAGCCAATATTGGATGCACGCTATTTCTTTTATCATCATTTCATTATTGATATAATTCATACACAACAACTTCATTTGTTAAAACATATATTGTACATATTTATTTATTTTAAAAATAGAAGAATATTATATTTGTACGCGTGTCAATGTAAAATTCCTGACAGTCGGTTATGTTTGGTTTAACACGTTATAGTTGTGGCGATACCCGAGTCAGAGTGATAAACATAAAACTTGGAATGGACTATAGACTGGTCACGCTAAATGTTTTGTGTCTAAGGCTTCAGTGTATACTGTTTGATCTAACATGTTTTAGTTATTGCGATACCCGAGTCAGAGTGATATACATAAAACTTGGAATGGACTATAGACTGGTCACGATAAATGTTTTGTGTCTAAGGGTTCAGTGTATACTGTTTGATCTAACATGTTTTAGTTATTGCGATACCCGAGTCAGAGTGATACACATAAAACTTGGAATAGACTATAGGGTCGGCGTCCTGATTATACACCTGAATCGATATCTCGTTCAGGCAGAGTTACTATTTTTAGAGACACGTTACTCCATTACGTGTTGTGGATTTCCAGTTTCAGTTTGTTCTTTCAGACGGTTTTTCCAACCGTCAATGATTGCTTCCTTTTTAAAATAGAGTAATTCTCTGTACTGGTTTTTTCCTCGGTGAATCTTACAGCGAAGTGCTAGCATTGCAGCATATCAACAGCCTTTATTTTCCGCATAAGGGACTTATAAGTTCAGTTATCATGGCGAAAGAAGTTTGCAAGTCGCGAAACGACGAAACAATGGAATGTTGTCAAAATGACTTGATTGCTGGCAAAACCGTTCCTCGTCATGTTATACGCTATAGCAAATACAAAACGTTTCTTATTATCTCGGTGTTGATTTTTGTATTTCAATCGTGTATCTTGGTGTACAGCGTTATTCAGTGGTGTCGACGGAATCGTGACATAGACGTATGTCCGGAATCTGCACGTACCATATGGATACCCCACACACATAATGGACGTCATGACAACAGGTCAGCTGACAGGTCGAACTTTTACTGTAAAACGCTTGACCACAAGTTATCTCATCTCATTGACTTTGTAAGTATTTTTGCTTTTTTATTGATATATTTCTTCTAGGAATTCAGTGTCCGAAAGGAGGTTTATCTAGCATGTACATTGAGGAGTACTTGTGCATAAATTATGGTGTACATTCGGTGTGCCTTTTAAATATGACTGTGTTTTTTTCTCACATTGAACCATAACACCTAAATCTTTATCACATTTTCAAACCTATTTGGTAGTGTGTGAAAGTAGACTGCAACTTCAACTAATATTATTTTAAAGAAAAATGTTGCATATTTGAATATATAGATTACGTGTACAAACTAGACATTATATATATAAATATTTAATATATAATATAAATTTGAAATAAAAGATATACTTTACACATGTATACTACATATATATTGCACATATAACATATTTAACATACACAATATGTTAATAACATATACAATTTACCATATATTTTGTATTATATTTATCAGATATACATAAAACACATCCAGAGGCTTATATAAGATTATATATATTTTGGACATATCGTGTTTATGTATGTACAGTGTATATACTAGATATGTATCACACTTTTGCCTCTGATAATACTATATTTTGTTTATGTGATACAAGTGTTGCTTGCGTTGTCATATTAGTTCCCGGGCTGATAAACAATTTTATAAACCAACCCGAACCGATAACTAGTTATTAGCCAGGGCTGATATCACTTCATCCGGGTTATTCACTCCGGATTTCATTGTTTAGCAAAAAACAATTGTTAGATTCATTTATTTGTTTTGTTTTTTTAAATATGTATGAAAAAATGGTTATGATATGACTATTTTGATATCACACCCTGTATCAGTCCTCGCCCTGATATCAGCCCTCGGGCTGATAAAGGCTGTCACATATAATGTTTTGATTTGTTTATATCACACGGTGTGATATAAAAATAAAATCAAAACATTATAAAATATAGTTATTATTTTACACCAGCTGTGTGACACTATAGATTTATATATTTCATTATACCAGGTGTGATATATCAGACAGTACTTGTTATTATATATCAATGTATACATATGTTTACAGCTGGTTGTGACTAACCGTTCAACGGTTCCTGATAAAGCACAACGCGCATCCCGGATATGGCCAGACACAAGACGGCCCGCCACAAAGATCCTCCATTACCACGCAACCAACAGTAATGTGGCCCCTTTATCATATTTTTAATTGATTAATCGCTTGAACCATAAGACATACTTATGACATCATTCTTATTTAGGTATTGTTAGAATATAATTGCTTATGGCTGCCATATTGGTTTCGTTAAACATTAAATATAGTAAGCGATTGATTGTTACGATAAACAGAAATTTCAATTCACTCCTTTTACAGAATCTAAACTTTTACATCATAGGACCTATTCTCCATGCCTTCATTTCCATGTTTCCATGACTTCACTATGTATGTATAAAGCATCGCTGATGTTAATTTATCAATGACCGGATCACAGAATGTTGTATATCATTATTAAGACTTTTTATTTTTAGAAAATTCCATGAATTTTCAAAATTACCTTTTCGTATATTAAGTTCTCTTAAGTTATGATCTTCATATCAATGACATTCACATTCATCTGAAATTTGTGTTATAGGCACAAGATTATCCAAAGGATTCCAGACAAACTATGGAAACGAAGTACAAGTTTTGGGGGACGGGAGTGTTCAAATTCAGCAGGACGGTGTTTACTGTGTTTATAGTATAATAACATTTGTTCATACACCCAGTGACACAGATGTTCCGAACGACGAGTATAAGATAAACAGAAGTCGTCACAGTAACAAGGCGGCCATACTCTCATCAGATACAGTGGGCCAAACAGGACATCTGGTGACAGAGACCTACAGGACAATAGACCTGTCTGGAAACTTCCATTTGAAGAAGGGAGATTTACTGAACCTTGACATTCGGAATATATCCGCTGTTTACATGTATTCATTTACACCTGCCAGCTTTTGGGGAGTATACCAAATTAAACCAAAGACGTGTTAAGATTTATTTCAATGAAAGTTTCAAAAGCAAGAAATGCTATTCATGTTTCTTCTGAGAAGTATTTATGGAGATGTTAGCGCGTTCCTTTTGTTTTTGTGACGCCTCAGTACCGGTTGTTGACGTTGCCTACCGGTTTGATTGAATATTATGTCCTTGTGTGTTTAAATTCTTACAAATGATTTACCTGTTGTTTTATAATACTCTGTTGAAATAATTGTTAATGGGACATATTGAACACGTTACAGCCTGTGAATAGACAGATTACCTACAGAATATGGGCAGCTTGCATTAAATGATGTGAAAGCGTTGACCTTTCAAAAGGATACTGCAATATAGGACCATATATTCAGAAGGTGAAACCAAGCACTGCATATATTTCATTTCAGGGATGCATTGCTTGGGTTAATGAAACTAACCCAAGCAGAGCATGATTGTCTCACCACCCTTCACTATATGTAACATTAAAAAGTGATTAGTAAAATCGATATCTGTTTGTTTTTTGTTTTGTTTATAATTTCCTGTGAGTGTTCTTCAAACTCTAGAGTTGGCGAATGAAGGAGGAAGATCTTGTGTTTGTTATAGAAGGAAACATAAATTATTTGACCCAGAATTTCCTGATTTCATGACAATGACAGATAGAAAGCTACGGTAATATCTAGAAGGAGTGTATCAATAAAGTCAATAATGTATTAATGAAGTCAATAATGTATTAATGAAGTCAATATTGTATCAATGAAGTTAATTATGTATCAATAAAGTCAATAATGTATCAATAAAGTCAATAATGTATTAATGAATTCAATATTGTATCAATGAAGTCAATTATGTATCAATAAAGTCAATAATGTATCAATTAAGTCAATAATGTATCAATAAAGTCAATAATGTATCAATGAAGTCAATAATGTATCACTAAAGTCAATAATGTATCAATTAAGTCAATAATGTATCAATAAAGTCAATAATGTCTCAATGAAGTCAATAATGTATCAATAAAGTCAATAATGTATCAATAAAGTCAATTATGTATCAATAAAGTCAATAAAGTCAATTTTGTATGTTGTTTAATATACTCAATATACACATTAAACGAAGGTTATTTGTTTTTTTACCTCGTGCCCTGTCCTAACATTTCACGATATATGGCATAAGATCGACCAGCCAAGAAATATCAGCGAAGGTATTCCTCATTACCTCTCAGAAAATGAAATACGAATGTTCCAATAGTTAACAGACAGTAACGAGACGGTATGTTTCTGAGGCAGGTTTTACTGAGTATCTAAGGTAACAAATACTGTATCACATATGTGTAAATACATTTATTATTAAAATAGAAACGTATAGATTCGTCAGAGATAAATATGTCAACAGCTATTTATATTCTAATGTTGTAACAACAAAACATGGACGATTATAAGCACTGGTTTATAATAATAATAATATACAACATTTATATAGCACCCTGTTATATTTGTAAAATTACTCTAAAGCGCTTTACAACATTTGGATAATAGTAATGATTATAATTGTGAAAACAAAAAACAAAGGCTTACAATCACTTTAAACATTTAAGCAAGCAATGTGCACATAATTGAACAAATAAAAGGGTGGTATTTACATGACGTCTTTGCAAGGATTCTAAAACGCAGACGTGAATAAGTGAGTTTTGATGTCCCTCTTTGTTGACGAATCTTCTTGTACAGTGGGGTTATGGAGGTATAACTTACTTTAATAAGACTTTTGTTTAAATTGTGCATTGTCATTTGTCTACCTTTATTCAAAGGTTGCTATATGCTGATATTAATATAGATGAGATTCGTTTAGCATTAAATCAAACCTGTTAAGTTAAGAGATTCTTATAGGTTTTCTATCACACGATAGAAACATTAAAACAGACGCAGCCTTTAACATTGGTTATACAATCTGTACACAAGTACAACACTTTTCGTGATTTTTCTATTGTTTGCTTACCTTTTTAAGTGAGATCTGACTGTGACCTGAATGTGTGCTTTGCCATTATATGATTTGCATTCTAGCAAGGATCTCAACAAATACAACGAGAGAACACCGAAGTGTTAATAGAACCGATATTCGAATTCAAAATTGATAAAAACTAGGGCAAAGTATGAACAAAGGAAGATTTACATGAAAACCCTTTGAGAACATTGGGAACTTATACAAGGAGAATAAGACCAGATGATTTCGAAAGGTACTCAGATACATTTAAACCTTTCACTTCCATGAAAGCTGATTCCATGATCCCCTTTCCCAATTCTGTTTTTATCGAGGTACTTTCAAAACCATTTTATGACGTCAAAACTTCTCAATCGAGAGATGGAGGCATTATTACGAGGTTGTTGTTTTTTGGTTATAATGTAAACACAAAATATGATGGCACATGGTTAACATCTTAATACCACAATACGATAAAACAAGATAGAAATAAATGATATCACCTGAATGCTCGTAATAATTTGCTTTTGAATTGATTGAAGAGTATTACAATGAATATAAAATTAGATATTTCTTAGAAACACATTATCTTTTTTTTTCTGCGAATTTCCTCTAAATATAGAATGAAAATTTTCGATAACAGTATATACACAAGGTACAACTGCGTTGCGTATACACGGGTAGTATGGACGCGTTAGTTATGGCGGATGATAAAGGATCATATGCACCAGTACAAAATGATAAGTCGAAAGTGGTCATCAGAAAAGACCCATCGCGTACGCTTAGGTGGATCATAGGTGGGATCATTGTGTCGGTTGCTCTGTTGATAGCGGAGATGTGGTGCCTCGTTAGCACTGTCCAGTCGATCAACAACTTGCAGAATGCTGACCACCAGAGCACACCACCTACAAGCAGCAGTCTACGAAGTCCGTTTCAGCTACCTACGGTTCCCTGCAACAAATCGCTGCCTTGCTTTGTGGTGGAAGATGACATTTATACAAAACTGGTGAAACTTGTAAGTAAGCAATGCTAATATATATGTACGATTTGTTTGTGCAATAAAAGTATGATAACAGAAGGTCTTAATAAAGTATGTAAACAGTTTAATATATTTAAATGGGCGGATTGGTCGGGTGGCTAACACTCCGGCCGTCCACGCTGGCGGCCAGGGACCGATCCCCGAAGTGGTCGTACGCCTGGAATATTCAGAAAAAAGTGTTTTTCTTCTGCCCATGTGGAGTATAAATTGGTCTGGGGTGGATGTTGTGGTATCTGCTGTAGCATTTAAGTGAGGTGGCACTATAAATGATGCCGTTGGAAGCACGGTCCCACTACAAACAGAACACATTACATCTCCAGCACACACGCAGTCATACACACATGGGAATTGAATTGATTAATATATATGCTTATTGTAGTAATTGTATATCTATGTACTGAAAAGCGCTTTAGAGTGGCTTATGTAAGCTAGATAGGGCGCTATATCAAATGATGTATATTATTTATAATTATTAATGAACCATTCCCTTCAGCTGTGTTTCACCCAATTGAATGCATGCAAACAGCGTTAACTGTTTTCTTCTTCGTTTTGTTTAGTTTAATGGTGCAAAGCGGCAAACCATGATTAGGACGGAAAACCGGAAAAACAAAAGCAAATCTGGGTTGATGACCAGGCAAAACTGTGAACAATTCTCTGTTTCAAATTGTACTGGTAGTCATCTAGACTGGAGAAGTGATTTCGGTAGAATCAACAGTGAATCAAATGGATCGGTAGTAATCAGTCAAAACGGTACTTATGGAATGTATACTATATTTACTCTAAAGTGCCCGTATGGCAATTCTATAAACAAGACTGAAGTCACACATCGTGTAAACAGACAAAAACATAACGATGCTTCCGAGGTGCTGTTTGAAAGGAAAATTGTTTTAAAACCACCGAATCAAGCCTTCAGAACGAGTACGTTTTTTGAATATGTAGATTTACTCAAAGGGGATCAGGTATACCCTTCACTATCAGACACATCGTTCCTATTTCGAAGCCCAAAGGCCAACATGTGGGGAGTTTTCCTGATCAGATAAAATTCGCAATGATTTCCTGCATTGCGAGCTAAAAATGTAGACGCGATGTCTACATCTTTGGCGAGCAATGCAGAAAATCATTGCGATCAATGCTTACAACCTGAAATGCCCCGTTTCATCAATAACTAACAGACAGTCTTCTGTGATGTAATATTTTACCTAGATTTCCATAGTTTCATAACGGGTGACGTCGATTTAGCAGAAGACGCTTAACTTTCCAGAATATGTCTTATGTTTCATGAATTTCTCTGGGGTCTCTGGGGTCTCTAGGGTCTCCCTATGTCTGGAGTCTCTGGGATCTCAGGGGGTCTCCCTATTTCTGGGGTCTTTGGGGTCTCCTTGTCTATGGGGTCTCTGGGATCTCAGGGGGTCTCCCTATCTCTGGGGTCTCTGGGGTCTCTTTGTCTATGGGATCTCTGGGGTCTCATGGGGTCTCAGGGAGTCTCCCTATCTCTGGGTTCTCCCTATCTCAGGGGGTCTCTGAGGTCTTTGGGGTCTCCCTATCTCCGGGGTATCTGGGGTCTCTGGGGTCTCCCCATCTCTGAGGTCTCTGGCGTCTCCCTATCTCTGGGGTATATGGGGTCTCTGGGGTCTCCCTATATCTTGGGTCTCCCTATCTCTGTCGTCTCTGGGGTCTCCCTATATCTGGGGTCTCTGGGGTCTCAGATGTATCAGGGGTCTCAGGGGTCTCTATGGACTCTGGAGACTCTGGGGGCTCTGGGGTCCCCCTATCAATATTTTCTTCGAATTACGGTTTTTTTACTACGTCGAAGTTCTCTTTATTGTTTTGTGTACGTGTGAGTGTGTTTTGCGTGAACTAATGTTATTTTTATAATTTTTGTATTACATAACCGTGTACAAACAAGGATACATATAGTTTTTTTCATAATCGTCTTTTGATCTGAGATATTTTATGAGAATCAAATGTAAACATATTTATAATTATATATGGTGGAAAAAAGCAATAATGGAAATATTATACCAATATGTACACCTGTAATTTAACGAATCGTCCGTATTCCTTAATCAAAGTGCCGTGGCTTACTTAGAACATAGAAGGACAGTATTGAGATTCAGAAGCACGAAGTCAGGTTAAAGGCAAAATCCATGTATTTGTACCCTTAACATCAATAGTGGATCTTTGACCTGATTATAAAAGTTGATCGGTTATGTTATTAATAAGTATAAATTTATAATCAAATACCTTTTTGCGAATTGACTCTACGATAACTAGTTTTTTTCATATGTTTTAATATATATTTAGCGTATTACAATGTAACAAAAATTTGCTAAAAGTTCCACCAACGAGGTATGATTTGCCGAATATATACGATTTTATGGCGTTGCGACCCGTTAAATGATTTATATCTTTAATATTAACCATGTTTTCATCTTTCGTTTGGTGTTGTCGTATGATATCGTGTGGAAGTTTTACTGCACAGAATGTCAGACGAGATAGTTCCGTTAAATAGCATCATAAATTCCATTAACACTATTTTCATTCCATCATATTTTCTATTTTTATTTTTTTGTGTAAGTTGCACGTATATGTAATTATACCTATCAAATTAAGATTTTTAGGCAATCATTTATCATTTTCATGTTATCTTTCAATTTATTTACGTTGCAAATATCTTCTTTGATATGATTAACATACAATATATACACTAGAACACACAAATGTAGAATAAGAACATTTGTTTTCTAGTGTTATTCCCTCCGGTTCGAGTAATCGGGATATCTTGTCCTTTTTCTCAATCAATAAGACATCGAGGAGACCAAAACGAATCGTCTAAATCAATTGAAATGGCTTGTATATATATTTTGTAATTTCATTCCTTTCTACACCACCCATCTACTGGCTTACTTCCATACCTCTGTTGAAACATTTACCATTGGATATCTTCCAGCACGTGACCCTTTACAACTTCCTTCTGTTGACGGACAAAACCATGAAAAATCATTTTATATTATTGCTATTTGTATGTTTTTAGCTAATAAAGATAATAAATGATGAATAATCATTTATACTATTTTTCGTGAATTATGTTGTTGAATGTTGGTAAATGCTAATTTAGAATACTTGTAAAGAAATGAATTCAAGTATTTTCCTATTGATTTCTTCATCTTACCCGGTGTTTTTATTCCGTTGTGAAGTTTTATTTTAATGGGTGTATAATGAAAAGGTGGAACTGGTCAGGATATAAAACGTTCCCTATCAAGTTCTTATATGATTGATGGATAACAAGACAACGATACAGAAAACATTAAGATATAGGGATGTTTACCCTTCATAGATTTCGTTGTACTTATGATATTTCGGATCACAGGTTCAAAGGTTGTTGCTAAGACAATACCGTGACTACCACAGTATTGTTCATTCAGCTGAGTTTTTAATAGACCCGCCATTTGTCATACAATACGCGCTGTTACATAATGAATGTGAGTTATAATAATAACATTTTAAACAACGACTTTGCTTTGTTTTAGAACTATATTGTATTGACAATAATGAATGTGAGGTATAATATTAACATTTTAAACAACGACTTTGCTTTGATTAAGAACTATATTGTATTGACAATAATGAAGATGAGGTATAATATTAACATTTAAAACAATGACTTTGCTTTGTTTTAGAACTATATTGTATTGACAAGTCTTTCAATAAGTTCATATGTCTATGTACCATAATAAAGGATTAAATGCAGTGCGATTTTATATCCAGAGAAAATTAAGACAAGAAAATCAAATTAAAGGTAATTATCACGCTACTTCTGATTTGTTGGGATTCTAGGAATAACAGATAATATGAACAATACATCTAAGCGTATTTTAAAGAGAAAAATATTCTTAAACGCCTCAATAGGTGTTTTGTTGAAACGGTATCTCACCATTTTAACAATTCAAAGATGACAAAATATTCTGTAGGAATACCCTTTTATTTATTAAGTACCTTACGTTTAATTAAAAATTTCCGTATACATTGTCCTCTGTATATATGAAAGACAAACTATTAAACATTCATTCCTGATTTAATTTGCTTTGTTATACAAAGAACAGATTTTAAGTTAAAATGAAATACGAAGAAACATGTGGGGATTTCTTAGTAATCTTCAGAGAGTCACGAGCGTGTCAGAGTCAGTTTAAGAATAATTGTATATGTCTTCCGGGTTGTAAATCTATACTTAAGTTACAAAGTGTTATTGTAGAGTTTACCAAGCACATTTATAAGGCGTGTTTGTTACATATTGACGTTATTGGATGATGCTTATTTATTAAGTCACGCGAAGTGAGTTATATTTATCATGTAAGTCCGGCTATGGTTATTACATTTGACGCAATCAACAGAAATGTCCATTAGTAAATCCAGAGAAAATTCCCAAATGATTCACACTGGCAATATTCCAATTCTTGTATATAAACACTGTATAATAATTGTATATAAACACTGTATAATAATTGTATATAAACACTGTATAATAATTGTATATAAACACTGTATAATAATTGTATATAAACACTGTATAATAATTGTATATAAACACTGTATAATAATTGTATATAAACACTGTATAATAATTGTATATAAACACTGTATAATAATTGTATATAAACACTGTATAATAATTGTATATAAACACTGTATAATAATTGTATATAAACACTGTATAATAATTGTATATAAACACTGTATAATAATTGTATATAAACACTGTATAATAATTGTATATAAACACTGTATAATAATTGTATATAAACACTGTATAATAATTGTATATAAACACTGTATAATAATTGTATATAAACACTGTATAATAATTGTATATAAACACTGTATAATAATTGTATATAAACACTGTATAATAATTGTATATAAACACTGTATAATAATTGTATATAAACACTGTATAATAATTGTATATAAACACTGTATAATAATTGTATATAAACACTGTATAATAATTGTATATAAACACTGTATAATAATTGTATATAAACACTGTATAATAATTGTATATAAACACTGTATAATAATTGTATATAAACACTGTATAATAATTGTATATAAACACTGTATAATAATTGTATATAAACACTGTATAATAATTGTATATAAACACTGTATAATAATTGTATATAAACACTGTATAATAATTGTATATAAACACTGTATAATAATTGTATATAAACACTGTATAATAATTGTATATAAACACTGTATAATAATTGTATATAAACACTGTACTATTGTCACATGTAAGCTGTCGTATCGCGTAACTTAGGGTAGACCTGACAATATTACATCACAATTTTTAACATTCGGATATCCTTTGTGACTTTGCAGAATTTCAAAAACTACTTCCATTTAATTTGGGTTTTTTATTCTAAACTTGAAGACATCACACATTTAACGTCATCAGATTAATATCTCATTTTACATCCACTCAGAGTACGCTGGTTATAAAGCTACTGTAATGTTTACCATGATTAAAACGAGTTCATCATATCTTCTGACATCGCTTGAGTTTTAGATAGTTCCCCTTGATTCGACAGCAAGGTCATAATATAGTGTACCCTGACATCATCGTATCGGTTATTTGTGTATCGTAACGTACATGTTGAAAGATAAAATTGATAAATAATTCAGTAAAATGCTGTAAAAGGAAGTAACGCTTGTTCATATTCTATATATTCCAAGCATTACAGACCGATTTGAAAGTTTTCTTCTGTATTCGTCTTGACTTATAAGGTCGTGGTCTTATAAAGTGTTAAAATATATTTCGACAAAATAAAATAGTTCAGTAAGGTTAGTTCATAAAGTCATAAGTTATTTGTTATGAGATAACCGACAAAAATGCCAGTGGAAATTTCCAGTGTTTTATCTGTGTCAAGGTGGTAGTTTACAATAGCGAGGTAGTTTTAGGAAATGATATCACCAGTTACCTGGTAAAGCTATATATAGGATTGTTTGGCTAGTAGACAGATAGTTTACCTAAGCCGCGGGTAGCATGAAAATTGTATCGAAATTTTTGTGATCGTTTTTCCGCTGAAGATTATTAAATCCACATAAGAGCACACGCGTTCATATTTTAGGCAGCTCACCAGCATTGTCATTGATAAACAAAGCCCGTCTTCATCTGACCTGTTTTGTTTTGTAATGATAGCAACTGGACTTACACCATATCTCGTTTTCATGTTAATGCAGGGACATAAACAATACAAATGGAATGCTAGACCTTTGAGTCAAATTATTACCTACTTGTGATGTTACAAAATGATAAAATTCGCTCCGCATTGCTGTTGATCATTAAATAGATTGCTTCCTCCCCGGCGAACTTTTCAGTTCCGGTCTTTTCAAAACAAATAATATGTTGCAAATTTTGAAACCCGAGATTTCCAAACCACATATTTCTACATTTTCTAACCGGATTCGTCAAAAATGTCAAAATAATTAATTCTAAACCCCATTTCCAGGACAAATCATTTAAAACTATAACGAATACGTTTGCAAAGTTCACGTAAGTATGTTACGATGTGAAGCATACTTTTATTCCCGCAGAGATGTTAAAAACGGCGAACTTTTAGCTTCTGATCTATTAATGACCAATCAGAGGGTCGCAAATTTTAAACCCCGTTACGCACAGTGTAAGGAAACCAGATCGCACAGTATTGCAGTTTTGTTTTTTATAGAGATTGTTTGTTTGAACAAATTTGTATACCACCCATACGATACAAAAGCGCTCGCTGTGCTCACTTTCATATATTATTGCTATGGTTTAATGTTCGAATAGTCAACTTCTCGCTCAAATATTTAAAACGAGAGTCAAACGTGACTTCAACATTGTTTTGTTTACTTTTTGGTCACCTCCGTATTACATGAACTATAATCTGATAATCCAAAACGAAGATTACTTAATTTAAAGAGGCGGGGGG